AAAAGACTCAAATTTCCATTAATTTGTGCATAATATCCTCAAGTCTCTTTGTCTATTATTTGTGAAATTCAAGATATCTGTTATTTCCCTTGCAAACGAGTGGGTGTCAATTCTTCCAAGTTGCAACCAATTATTTGGAGCATTCTCGAGAGTTCAAGCATTTAATCTTACCCTATGGTGGCAAGTGGCTAGATATTAATAATATTTAATAAATATTAATTATATTTTTTAATTAAATATTAATTATAACAAATCAACGGAGATATTGATGGCATAGAATTTACTGTACGATTATAATTGCACTTCACTTTATGTTATCAAGTTAGTCAAGTCGTGTTTTTTATACAATTTAAAATATATTTAATTAGTGTTTATAAATAGATAAAAATGACTGGTAAAAAGTGAATAGTACTTATCGATCATATAGAATGTGTGAATAAAATTAAATAATTTGATCTAAAGTCTATAAACAATAATATTTATAAACACTTCCCAAAATACAGACAAAATTTTACGAAAATTTTGAAATGTTTATCATTTCGAATACGTTCATCAAATTGAGTTTTCAAAAAATTTTTGAAATATGAAACTCGAAGATACAATTCAAAAACTTTGATTAGGAATTTCACTTCATCGTAAACTTTTACCATGTCTGATACTCATTCTTATAAAATATATTTTTCTCTCTTATTTTCAATCAACTTTATTCAATGAAATATATATTTCATCAAAATACTATTTAAAATGCATTATTGAGAGAAAAATGGGGCACAAAAACAATAATTTTGTTCGTCACATCATATCATATCCTAACTACATAAAAGAGGGAGTTTTGTTCTGCCACGTGTCAAGCTCTCGCCATCCTTCCCAAAACGACGTCGTTTGGCTTAAAAAAATCCTGTTGCCACCGCCTTCTTCTCACCTTATCGAAACTCTTGAATCGGCTTCTCCTTATTCCGTTGTCTTCTGCTGCTCGTGTTTTGCCTAATTTGGAAGAGAATACCTAAACCTTGTAGAATTAAGCGTCAAATCTCCTGAATTTCTCTGGTTCTATTTGCTGTCGTGAGTCACCAAAAGCTCCTGGAGGGCAGGCAGTGGGTGGGATTTTGGCTCGACGATTAAGGTTAAGGTTCTTTAATTGTTCTGATATGTGATGGTTTTTTTTCTTCTGTAATTGTTTCTTATTCAACGGTCTTCACTTTTCCTTTCATTGAAGGCTGTGAAAAAATCAAAACCCAACTCT